GGGGGGGGGGGGGACAGAACCTCCATAGGGATCCCAGTGGGGTGGAACTGGGGACACGGGGCGGCACCCAGAGCTGCAGCCTTGGAGCTGAAGGGCGTTGGGTGCCATAAAGCTGTGCTATGGGGCCATAGGGCGCAGGTTGGGGGGCGGGGAGGGGGCAAACACTGCTGGGGTTGGTGGCTGTGTGCCCCCTCCCCCCCCAAAGGAAACAAAACAAACACAGGCCTTCCCTACAGCAAAGCCCAAAGTGCTGAGAGGGTGTTCAGCCCCTCCGGCCCACAATGAAGGGGTTGGCCCAGGCCTGGGGAGCGGGGGGAAAGTCCCAGGCCCACGGGTGGAGGGCAGAGGGGGGGGGGGGGGGGGCCGCCCCGCCCCTGTGTGGGGGGCCGGGGCCGGGGGGGGTTTCCAGGCCCAAGTAGGTGGGAGAAGCCCCACCGCCCCCCCTTACCCCAAACAGGCTCTCATCCACCTCGGTGCTCCGTGCCCGTCTCCGTAAGCGGCTGGAGGGCTGCATAGAGCCGGGGGGGTTGGCGGGGGTCCCGTTGAGGCCCTGCAGGCCGCGGGCGGCGCTCGCCATCCCGCTCCGCCGCTCCGTCTCCATAGCAACGGCAGCGCGCGTTCTCATGGCAACGAGACGCGCGGGGGGCGGGGCCGGCGCGGAGGGGCCGCTCTAGGCAGCTCGGAGCCGACTCGATGGTCGCTGGGGGGTGTTCGGCCCCGGCTGCGCCCGCGTGGCTCCGGCGGCGTCACCTCCACGCGTGGCTCCGGTTGTCCCCATTACGTCCCCATCCCGTCCCCCTCCCCGCGCGTTCCCAGACGCGTCTCCACGCCTGGGCCCCATTCGTGTCCCTTTCCCGTTTGTCACCATTTGCGCTCTCCCATCACCCTCTTTCTGTGTTCCCAGTCGTGTCCCCGTATCTGAGCGTCCCATTCCCCACGCGTGTCCCCACGTGTCCCCTCCACGCGTGTCCACATCTCCCCCATCCACGTGGGGCTCAGCATGGCCTCACCTGCACTGCAAGCCCCGCCCCCTTCCTCCTAGCCCCGCCCCCTTCCTCCTAGCCCCGCCCCTCCACATGCTCACCCACCACCACATTCGAAGCTCAGGGCTGCTCCCCTCTGATTGGGTTCTTTGGGGTGGAGATGGGGGGGGGGGTTCCTCCCCCATTCCCCTCATTACCACCAGGCCCCCCCCACACCTGAACCATTGCCTCTTACGTACCCCAAGAGCCATTGGGCCCCACGCCTGTGGGGACAGCCCCCAGCCCACCCGACCCCAACCCCTACCCCCCCTCCCCAGCCCTCCAACCACTTTCATTCCTTATAAACAAGAAGGGGCCATTTATTGGGGCGAGAGCCACTGGGGGGGGGCTCTCCCCAGCACGGCCCCCCCCCCAAGGCACAGCGGTGTTGGGATGAGAGGGAGGGGGGGGGTCGGGATGCGGAGACAAAATAATTATTATTAAAAAAACCCACAGATTTTGGTCCTGGCGGGTGGGCACAGCCCCGGTTGGTCCATGGGGGGGTCCATAGGGGGGTCCATAGGGGGGCCCATGGGGTGGTCCATAGGGGGTCCATGGGGTGGTCCATAGGGGGGTCCATGGGGAAGAGCGATGCGCTTTGGGGACCCCCCCAGCCCCATGGAAGCTTTGGGGTCGGGGTGGGGGGGGGTTTGGGGGCCGTTCAGAGGATCTGTCGGGGCATCCCATACCCGGTCATGCCCGCCTGCGAGGCGCCGCGGTTGGTGCCCATCTGCAGCCCGATGACGCTCTGCCCTTCCTTCAGTTTATCCTCCGAGAAGACGCGGCGGTTCTCCTGCGATTTCCTACGGCCACCACCATGGGAATCAACCCCCATCCATCACCCCCCCCCCCCCTGTGAAACCCCCCCCCCCCCCCCCCAGGTTCCCCCCATCACCTACTTAGGGAACCAGTTGGGGTCTCCCACGAAGAGCCCATCGCCTTTGGCCACCGCCAAGCTGCCCAGGTTCATCAGCGTCCTCTGCACGCACGCCATGTTCTTCCCTGCGTGGTGCCAACGCGGTGTCACCCCCTGTGACACCCTTTGGGGACATCTGGGTGTCACCCCATCGTCCCCAACCCTCACCTTCCCACAGATCCACCGTCTGGAAGATGTCGGTGGCGGCGATGCCATAACGCTCAGCTGCCTGCAGGAACTGGGAGATCTGCTCCATCTGCTTGAAGGCCATGGAGGATGCCTGGATTTTGGCCACCGGCGCTTGGCCCCGAGGATAGAGGCTGTTGATGAGGCGGCACAGGACCTGGTGGCATCAGCGGTGACAAAAACGGGGTCGTGGTGGCACCAAGACGCGGTGACACCATGGCCTCCCCGACACGGTGGCACCGTGATGAGCCCAACATCGAGTGAGGGGACACCAGGAGCATCCCAAAGCAACGGCACCGTGATGACCCCAATGTCAGATAAGGGGACACCAGGACCACCCCAGTACGAGGCACCATAACCTCCCCCCTCTGGTAGCACCACAATAAGCCCAATATTAGGTGAGGGGACACCGACATGATGGCACCACGCTGACCCCAATGTTTGGTGAGGGGACACCAAAACGACCTCAATACGGTGGCACCACGGTGACCCCAACATCAGCTGAGGGGACACCGTGACCTCCCCAAGGCAACGGCACCACGGTGACCCCAAGGTCGGATAAGGGCTCACAAAACCACCCCAAAACGATGGCACCCCAACCTCAGGGCAGGGAACACAGCGACCACCCCAACATCAACCGAGGGGACGCCACGACCCCCCCTGGACCCCCATCACCACAAAGCGAGGTGACACCACGACCCCTCGCCCCCCCAGTCGCCACCATGGAGGACTCACGGTGCCGTCCTTGAGCCACTGCTGGAACCCATCGCGCCCGGGCGTGGGCTGGGGGATGTCATCTCCGCACTGCCCCACCATCCAGCGCACCAACAGCTGCTCCAGCTCGGGGTCGTACTGACGGTCGATCTTCTGCTGCACCTCCCGGCTCAGCCCATACGATGGTCCCCTGTTGGCCATGCCTGCGGGGACGCTGTGTGTCACCCATCCTCCCTTGGGGACGCGGTGACACCTCCTGGCGCTGCCCTTCCCCTGGGATGTCTGTCTGTCTGTCTGTCTGCTTGGACCTTATCGCCCGTGCCAGGCGCTCCCTGCTTCCTGCCCGGTGCCGTGGTGACAGCATTGGGGCGCACGGCCCCTCCTTGGAGTCCCCACGCTTTACCATCCCCATGGTGGCACCGCACCGTGTGCCCACCCAACCCTAAACCTCACCCTAAACCCCCACCACCAACCCCATCCAAAGGCCCCCCTGGGGTCCCCCCACATTGCCACCCCGATGGCAGCACCACTCCATACCCACCCAACCCTAAACTCCATCCCGAGCCCCAAACGCCTCAAACTTAAACCTCAACCACCAACTCAAACCCCGAAAACCCAATCCTAAACCCCAGCCCTGAACCGAACCACCAACCCTAAATCCCAACCCTCAACCCTCAACCCAACCCCCTGACCCCAACCCCAAACCACCCGCCCCAAACCCCAGCTGGGTTCCCCCATTGTGTTGGCTCGGGTTTTTTGGCAGCTGCTCATTGAATGTTTGCAAAACTGCACCCGTTTGTATGGGATCGGAGCCAGATCCGGGAGCTGCCCTGGGAGCCCCACACCGCAAACCCCAGCAGCCCCACACGCCCCAGGAATGGCGCCTGGCTCCCATCCTACAGGGCGCTATGGGGTGCGGAGCCCAGGGGTCCCCAAGGCTGGGTGACAGCATCCCAATGCTGCCCATATCAGGGTGCTCCCGACACCCTACAGCCATTGGGTGGCATTTGGGGTTCTGCGTCCTGCATTGCTGCCCCCAAAGGTCCTCCTGGGGGGGGGGGGGAACTCATGGCTGGGCTGAGCCTGGGCCCCACTGCACGTCCCCAGATGTGGGGGGACCCCAATGTCACTCAGGTACCCCAAACTTGAGGTCACCCCAA